TTGAAGGCCTATAGGAATGTAGGTGGGTCCAAAGATGGTCTCCAGAGTGCCTGGAGTTGGGGCCAGGAGCGAAGCAGGGCACGGATCAGATTGTTGCAGGGACATAGTTCATCCCATTACTTACTTATGGAATCCCATCGCTTAAGACTGATGAACATGGCATTTTGTCCTGAGACAGACCAACTGAGCACAGCAAATGCCAACAGGAAGCCAGTAAAACGGGCCTCGCGTCAGACACGTTCACCTCAGATGATTTTAGACCTCCTTGTTGCCAGTGTGGGGAGGTGGGTTTAACTATCCAAATTGGAAACAGAACCTGAGATAAAGAATTTAACAAAAAAAATGCATACAGCATCAATCATTTGAAACATAAGTAAATCTACAGAAAACGTATCACATTCTGGGTAAACCCCTTCCCTGCAAAAAGAACAACGCTAAGATTCAAGATCCAGGCAGTTAAAATCTGGAATATAATGGTTGTGGAACTCTGGAATTTTCCTGAGTTCTGGACAAGGACCGGAAGCTCCCGAAGGTGCTGAGGCAGGGTGGGGAGGACAGGACACACACATAGAAGCAGCGCACACAAACCCCAGGAACGCACCAGGGCCAGGGCGCCCGGGGGTACAGGATAGACGTGGCTCATCTTCCCCAGAAGCCTGTTTTGCTCAGGATTAGTGGAAAGTAGGAAGTTGTAAGTGCTCACCATTAGTTTACTAACAGCTTTGCTTTGCAGAGTGGAGGAGGGAAGAAGCTACCTTAACAGCACATGCTGAACTCGAGCCCGATCCTAATTTCAAAAAGTTTAAACCATGAATACATATACATCCTAGGATTAAGAAAAGTAATTTGAAACATTTTAATATTAAAACAGACATGAGTGAAGATAGAGAGTAGAACGGCGGTTGCCAGGGCAGCGGGGGATGGGGAGTGGTTTAATGAGGACAGCTTCAGTTTGGGGAGGTGAAAAAGTTCAGGAGATGGATGGTGATGACCGTTTCACAACAGTGTGGATATACTTAATGCCCTTGAACTGAACACTTACCATAGTTAAAATGGTAAATTTTATGTCATTAAATTTTTTTTTTTTTTTTTGAGTCAGGATCTTGCTCTGTCACCCAGGCTGGAGTGCAGTGGTGCGATCATGGCTCACTGCAGCCTCGACCTCCCGGGGTCAAACCATCCTTCGACCTCAGCCTCCTGAGTAGCTGGGACTACAGCAGTGTGCTGCCACACCTGGTTAATATTTGTATTTTTTGTAGAGACAGGGTCTCACTATGTTACGCAGGCTGGTCTCAAACTCCTGGGCTTGAGTGATCCGCCCTCCTCAGCCTCCCAAAGTGCTAAGACTACAGCTGCGAGCAGCCATGCCTGGCCGTGAATCTTTTATCACAATTTTTTTAAAAAGAAATGTATGAAGGCATAGAAAATAATTTTCTATAATTTTAAGATGTAAAAGATGAGATTTTCAGTCCATTCTGCACAGGATCACATTCCCTCTCCCCATATTAGTGGGAAAGTTGGAGAATCCACAGTTCAAGGAGGCCTCAGAATCTTTTGCACAGAGCAGTCCTTTTAGCCACAAATTACTTAGTAGTTCCTGGACTTTATTTATAACTCTGAACAACACCTTCCCCACACCACCATTTTTGCTAACAATGAGATCAGGAGTCTCAACTGCAAGGAAAAGAAGAATGGAATGGAGTGGGTGGGTCTAGGCGGGGTTGGGGCTGGGGGAGGCCTTCGGCTCCTGTCACCAGGAGGCCCAGAGGGGAAGGGAGAGAGAGGCAGATGGCTTGGGGCTCTGACAGAAGGGCAGGGTCCTCTTGAGGTTGCTGTAAGCATCAAAGGGGCTCATGTGTGTCGGAGGCAGGTCACAAGCTTTGCCCACCACACATCAGAGGCAAGAGGACTGGGATGAGTGTGTACTAGGTAGCCCTGGCTTTATGTTAGTATCTCAAGCCTCATCACAAGCATCCTCATTTTACAGAGGACCACCCAGCGGCTCTGAAAGGTTGGGTAACTTGTCTAAGGTCATGTGGCTCACAAGTCATGGAGCCAGAATTTGCATATGGGGTAGCCTGGCCCCATCTCAGCCCTGGAGAGGCACTGAGCCCTGGTGTGCCTTCCCAAACAGGCAGCTGAGGGCTCCCAGGAAGACGCTGTTGGGCCGCTCAGCCCTCTGACTCACACCTCAGAGCAGCTTGGGGCCCTCCCATCCTCTCTAGGGTTCCCTGCCCAGCCCCATCCTGGGCCCCAGTGTGTCCCCGAAGCACCAGCCAAGGAACAGCTGCCCAGTGTACCTTCTCTGTTCCGCCCACTCACCACTCTCCATTTTCCTGTGTGCTCTTTAGGGTTCAAGAAGGGTAAGATTAGCAACCTTCAGCCTGGAAGTTGCCCCTGGCTTCTCTCTGGGCTGCTGACTGACTGGTACTAACCTTGAGGGGCAGAAGATGGGTTTTCTGTGACACTTCTGGGACACGCAGTGGCCTGATGGCCTGGGTTCACTGTGGCTCTTGCTGATTTTTGGCAGTGAGCACGGGGAGGCAGTTTCACTGAGCTGACCTACTGTGTGCTGGGCTGTCATAGTGCAATGCTGAGTAAGACGAGCTCCTGGCCTGCACCAGGTTCACCATCTAATACAGGAAAGTGACAAGGAGGCAAGCCATTAGGAGGTAGCACATGAGTGCTGGCACGTACCAGCAGTCCCAGCTACTTTGGAGGCTGAGGTGGGAGCATTGCTTGAGCCCAGGGGTTCAAGGCCAGCCTGGACAACGTAGTGAGATCCTGTCTCTTAAAAAATAAAAAAGAGAGGCTGGGTGTGGTGGCTTATGCCTGTAATCCTAGCACTTTGGGAGGCCAAGGCGGGTGGATCACCTGAGGTCAGGAGTTCAAGACCAGCCTGGTCAATATGGTGAATCCCCATCGCTACTAAAATGGGCATGATGGCAGGTGCCTGTAATCCCAGCTACTCAGGAGGCTGAGATGGGAGAATTCCTTGAACCTGGGAGACGGTGGTTGCAGTGAGCCAAGATTGTGGCACTGCACTCCAGCCTGGGCAGCTGAGCAAGACTCCGTCTCAAAAATAAAAATAAAAAAGAGGCAACTTTATTCTGTGAAAGTTGTGGAAACCAAGGGGAGAGAGGAGCACCTAGTTCACCTTGGAGAGGGTCAGCCCAGTGTCCGTAAAAAAAGCAACCTTTAGCTCAGATCTGAAGGATGGAGGAGGTGGCAGCAACGGGACAATCATCACTCCAGTGCTGGCTTTCTGAGTCCCAGGGCTTGTCTTTGTTGACCTACACCATTTTCTCAGGGAAGAAGAATTCAGCGTACACGAAATTCATGTATACCACTCTGCTCCTAACCTGCCTCAGAGGGAACATGTGCTTCTTGACGTTGTGAGCGATATGAACTTTCTAGTATAGTCTTTTTTTTTTTTTTTACTTGGCATGATTTCATATTTACATTTTCCTGCATAATGACATTTTCTATACACTTGTCATTTTTAATAGCACTATAATTTTCCATCACGTCGACATCCTATAATTTGCCTTGTTATTTCTCGGTTGCTGAGCGTTTGGGGAGTTTCCGGTTTTTCTTCACAAATGGCACCGTGTTATCTTTAGATAAGTTCATTTTTCCCCTTTATATTCTCGGATTTATTTCCCAGCGAAATCACCCATTGGAGCAGGAGCGGTGGTGCTGCTCTTGTTACATAGCGCCAAACGACATTTCAGAAAGAACAAGCTGATGCGGGCTGTGCTGGCATCGCTGCCCCTCCACCACGTCCGACCCTGGGGCTTAAAATATTTAAACTTTTTT